GGAATCACAATCTCGTGGTATTCAAAAATTCGACTTTTTAATGGATTTTCTATTGGTGTGGATTTCGTAAGACTTTTTAGTGAAAAATATAAATAGGATGTTTCTCTCACAATCTCATCCTAACCCCTAAGATTTCTTGAGATTCTTCTATTGCATTGTTTTCTTCTTCCTTTGGCAGCTTGACTGCTCAAAATTGGATTCTGCCATGGGAGCTTCGTCAAAACTAAAAAAAGAGAGCATATTTTTTAGCGATTTTCATCGCAAAATAACCCAAAAACAACAAACCAATGAGATTTTAATATAATCTATCTCAAAAATAACATATTTTTGAGCCATTTTTGAGAAAATTTGAAAGTTTAAAAAATGATTTTTCAAGCTATGGGTCACGATTTTTCTTGGCACAAAAACGTGTGATTTTTGTATTATAAAAACAATATAAAACAGTGAAAAAATAACAGGGGAACTAAAACCCTCAAACCAATTTTCGTTTTACATCAAAGAAATAATATCAATTTAAAGAAAGATTGAAATTTTAATAATATGAACCCTATATTTCGTAACAATACATTCATGAACGAAATTCCTTCACTATAGGAGACGATTTCAAACTTTTTTGTGTCAATAGATAACTAAAACTTGTTTATCAAAAGCCCCAAAGCAATTTAAGGTTTCAATGTATCGATTGAAAAAAATTGAGAAATTTTCTAAACTTTCATGTAATTAAATCCAAAATTTCAGATTCGAAATTTTCTTAGAATATTCAATAAAAATATGCATATGATATATGGTTAGAAAACTCTCATCAACAAAAATTCCAAGATTTTCAAGATCAATTACAAAAAATTTCAAACGAAATTTTATCATGAGCTTTAGGTTCTATATGCAAATTTAGAATTTTTTTTAGAATTAAAAAAAATTGGGTGTATTGGATTGAGATTTCAAAGGATTTTAATGGATTGTTTTTGACAAAAATCCGTTGGTATTCGATTAGAATTTTAATGGATTGAAAAAAAGTCACGAGGTATTCGATTAGGATTTTAAAAGATTATTTTAGAATCTGTCCAAATCCGTTGGTATTCATTCACTCAGGATTTTAAACAATAGAATCACAATCTTATGGTATTCAAAAATCAGACGATTTTAATGGATTTTCTATTGGTGTGGATTTCGTGAGATATTTTAGTGAAAAATATAAATAGGATGCCTCTCTCACAATCTCACTCTAACCTCTAGGATTTCTTGAGATTTCTTTATTGCAGTGTTTTCTTCTTCCTTTGGCAGGTTGACCCGCTCGAAATCGGGTTCCGCCATGGGAGCTTCATCAAAACTCAAAATCACATATTTTTGAGCGATTTTCATTACAAAACCCAGAAACAACAAACCAACGAGATTTTTGAGTCTTTTTTTAGAAATTTTTGAAGTTTAAAAAGTTATTTTTCAAGCTATGGGTTGTAGTTTTTCTTGGCACAAAATGATGTGATTTTTGTATTAAAAACAATATAAATAGTGAAAAATAACAGGGAACTAAAACCCTCAAACCAATTTTCGTTTTACATCAATGAAACAATATCAATTTAAAGAAAGATTGAAAATTTCATAATATGAACTCTATATTTCGTAACAATACATTCATGAACGAAATTTATTCACTATATGAAAGGATTTCAAACAATTTTTGTGTCAATAGATTACTAAAAAATTATTTTTCAAAAGCCCCAAAGCAATTTAAGGTTTCAATGTGTCAATTGAAAAAAATTTGAAATTTTTTCTAAACTTTCATATAATAAAATCTAAAATTCAGATTTGAAATGTTCATATGCATATTATGATATATGGTTAGAAAACTCTCATCACAAAAAACAAAAATCTCAAGATTTTCAAGATCAATTGCAAAAAATTCCAAACAAAAATTTATCATGAACTTTAGGTTTTGATATGTAAATTTAGAATTATTTTAATAATTAAAAAAATTGGGTTTTGTAATCATATATGCATAGCGATGATACCAAATGAATAATATAATTTTAAACCTATCGGTTAAACCCAAAAGCATGAACGAGAAAATGTTGATGCGTGGAGGACTAGTATAACTTTAGATATGAGAAGAGATGTTGCTTAGTAATTTTGAATGTTCGTTAAAAATTATATTATGTTTTACTGATTGAGAAAATTATATTAGGTTTTACTTTTTTTTATTAATTTTATTTCATTTCTTTGTTATTTTTTTTATTGACTCTTGTAATTTTGAATGTTTGTTAAAAATTCATACGGTTTTTTAAAATCTTCTAAATCCATATTGTCCTTTCAAATCTTATAAATTCTTTTAAAATCCTTTAAAATCCAATATTATGAAATCTTGATAGTAAAAAAAGTCTTTTAAAAAAGTCTTTAAAGTCCCTCCAATTCTAAAATGTCTTTTTAAAATCTATAATATTTTTATCTCAAAAAAGACTTTTATAATCATATATGCATAGCTTTGATACCAAATGAATAAGATAATTTTCAACTCATTAGATATGTGAAAAAGTTGTTGTTTAGTAATTTTGAATGTTTGTTAAAAATGATATTATGTTTTACTGATTGAGAAAATTATATTAGGTTTTTCTATGCTATCACACATACAATTATACTCAATTCGATGGAATTGTTTGATCTTAAAGGGGACCTTTTTTTTATTAATTTCATTGCATTTCTTTGTTATTTTTTTATGAAAAAAATTATACTTATAACCTATTTTTGTTTACAACCATATCTTAACCGTTGATTTCTGTCAATCAACGGTTATTATTTTCACAAATAACCATATCTTTCATTGAGTATTCTAAGAAAATTTCGAATCTGGATTTCAGAGTTTTATTACCTGAAAGTTTAGAAAAATTCTCAAATTATTTTCAATCGATATATTAAAACCTGAATTTCTGAGTATTCATTAAATTATTTTGGGGCTTTTGAAAAATAAATTTTGAGTTATTTATTGATACAAAAAATTTTGAAATTGTTTCCTATAGCGAAAGAATTCCTTTCTTTAAATTGATCTTGTTTCATTGATGTAAAACGAAAAGTGGTTTGAGGGTTTTATGTTATTTTTAATACAAAAATCATACTTTTTTGTGCCAGGAAAAATCATGACCCATAGTTTGAAAAATTATTTTTTAAACTTCCAAAAGCTCTAAAAAATCTGCTGTTGTTGAGATGTTATATTAGAATCTTGTTGGTTTGTTTTTTCTGAAATTCACACCAATAGAAATTCACATCAATAGAAAATTCATTAAAATCGTCAGATTTTTGAATACCACAAGATTGTTTTTTCTTTGTTTAAAATCCTGATTGAATACTAACAGATTTGGATGGACTCTAAAATAATCTTTTAAAATTCTAATCGAATACCACATGACTTTTTTTTAACTCCTTTAAAAGCCTAATCGAATACCAATGGATTTTTTTGTCCGGAAAAAATCCATTAAAATTCTTTGAAATCCAATCCAATACACCCCCTAATTTAGTTTTTTTAACTAATCATACATATTATTTATAATTAAATATTTTAAAATTTCATTTCAATTATTCATGCATATTTTCAATAATTAAAAAATTTAATCATGGTTTTTTAACTTCACCTTAATTTAAATGCACTACCATGAATTCACACAACTTAAATAAATGTTCTATTATGACAACAATTTTTTTGAATCTGTTTAATAAATTGGGAAATATGAAGTTCAATGGAAAATACTAATTTTGCACTGTTTCTAGTTAGATTTTTATTTTTAGATTCATATAAAACTTTTTTTTTAGAAAAAAATGTTCTAAATGATTAAACATTAGAAAATTATCACAATGAAAATTATGATTATTGTCACATCAAAGGTTATTTTATACTAAAAAAAAAAGGAACTTGTATATTAATTATTTTGTTGTGATTAAGGTTTTTTTTATTAAAAAATATGACTACACCTGTCAAATCAAGCTGTTCAAAGCAACAATTATTAACGAAAAGTACTAAACTTAAAATATGAATTATATTTGAATTCATATGAAATAATATACGGCTACATTACTTACCAATAAAAGAAAAAATACATATGAGAAAAAAAAATGTAGTTCCTAATTTTTTTTCTTTCTCTTAACCTATTTTCATATCTTTCGCGACTCCAGTGATATTTAGCAATTACTAGATATCATTTTATTCTTTATTTCACAAATATTTATTAACTATAAAAAAAAGGCGGCATCAGGTATATTCCTATGTACTCGATGATATCTCAATTCTAAATCCTTGACTGTATACGTATAACCTATATTGCACCGATATCGACACGGGACACAGGATACAACACGTGATCACGACTCTTCAACATGTTAATTGTAAAAAATGCTAAATTTATCTTTTTTTGAGTCTTTGCAATAAGTATTGAAGTGTCAGATTAGATAACGTCAAACACAACATATCTAAATTTTTGAAGTGTAGGGTACAAGAAAGAAAAGCTGAGGCCAGAACCTATACAAAATGAAACCTATTACTACTAATTCTCAACTTCGAAATAAGTGAAACTGTAAATGTAGACAGATTAACCTTTTTTTTTCAGTAGGCGGACAGATTAACCTATTTCATCTATATGGGACAGAGAAATGGATTTGAGCTTCAAGCTGCTTCAAATGTTTGCAGAGGTCTGAGCAATGTTTTTCTTGAAGCCTAAACATTAACTTGGGATTAAGCATTTGGCTGTTGCGTGTCTCTTTTCAAAAGCCTAGATCTAAAATTACCTGCTCCCCTTGCTTATTGGACATTCTGCGCCAAACAGTATGACTAATTTAGATTGTACAGCCAGAGAATAAGTTAAATGTAAACTTTTGGTATTTTCAGAAAATATGAATAACAAGAGGTAAGAACTAAATATAATAGAGTGTACACAATTTCTTTGTATTTCATTGTTTACATGTACAATCGCTGAGGTAAAAATTTTCATTCCTTAGCAGATCCCTAAAATTTGGATGCTGATTGGGAGAGAAAAATTGGCACTAAAATTACTCTATTGGGAGATTATGTTCAAAAGGGAGGCTCTAGTTTTAATCAAGCGCCTAAATACTCTCTCCAAACCATTCTCAACATTTTCAATGGCATTCTCCAGAGCCTCTAATCTTTCATGTGTTGTCTGCATCCTTTCACCATTACTACCTTCATTTAGAAGGGTACTTAAAGCTGCTTCCACACACTGCAACTCGTTAACATTCTCCGAGTCATGTTCACATGATATGACCCCCTTGTGCATCAATTTTGACACCAGCAACCATTTGGTTGCCTTTGACTTTGATGAAGACACTGTCAAGAATGTCAAAAGGAATTGGAAGATAGACAAGTTCAGTATAATGACTTCCCTAAGCACTCTAAGCACAGCACAAAGGTGATGATCAAAATCCAAGAGTGGGGATACCCCAAATTTGCTTTCCATATGCTTCAAAGATGTGATCAACTTCTTGGCATTCTTCTTCATCTTCTTTGTGAAGAAATTGTATTCAGCAACACTTTTTTCAATACTTGAATCCCCTTTCCTTCTTCGAAGAGCAGAATGAAGGGCTTGAACATTTTCCTTAATTTGTAACATGGTGTCCCTTGTGATGCCACAGATATCCAAAATTATCAATGTACCATCCAATATCTCTTCCACGCATTTCTCACCTTGATGGTGAGAAATAACTTGGTGGGTTGATGCCATGTTGAGAAGACCTTCCAAGCAAATATACAAATCTTCAAGCAAAGACAAGCCAGTGCCAATGGACTCTGATGTGGATATGGATGTTCCTTCCCAAGTTTTGAGCTTGCTCAGCTCCTCTTCTACTCTAATAGTACTAGGATGAGATCTACAAGGCAAACTAATTGAGCGAACATTAAACTTGCTTGCCATGGTTTCTCTTTTTGTTTCTCTTCAATGGAAGCTCAACTTTGGGATGCTCTTACTAGGTCCTTGGGACTCTCTTTTTATAAAGGACACTTCCAGTTCATTCCTAGATCCAGAGGGAAAAAAGAAAAAAGAAAAAAGAAAAAAGAAGCACCATAGATCAACACGTGGGGCATGTGGGTTTCCCTTCAATTTTGGTTAACTTGTTACATCTCTACCCGACATTATGCTCGATTAAATGTGATATTCTATTGGCCACAAGGGTAGTGAAATAGGTTTGAGCCTTGAGGTGTACACCTGGCTTGTTCTCCGTGAGTTGATAACCAGAAATCTTCATTAGTCATCACCTAGCTTGAGATCCACAATAATTTGAGCTATAGATAAGCTTTTAGAATTCCAAGAACAATGGGTCCATGAGTGAGTTTAATAATGTATGCACGAGCGGCATGGATTCCTTATTCATGTCTCCTTTGTTTTTAATCATGCTCGCATAATTGCGTTACTAATATGAAGAATCTTCACATTTTCTTTTCCTCGATTTTCTTGAGCAATCTTGATGTACGTGAAGGAGGACGCGTATCCTGCTGGTAGGAATGACGCGTGTCTATTCGAGTAATTGATTGGCATCTTATGGCAAATATGCCCATCAGTCCTTGGCACGTGGCTGTGCTGTAGCAGTGTTGCTTCCTCCTAGATCTAAATTATAACGATGTGGCTTATTCTCCTCTTTTGGTGGAACGTAAGGGTGTTGACTGGGACAGACAATTTCTCATTCCAGTAACTAAGTATATCAAATAATTCAAAGGTATCTTTTGAGCCGGCGCTCATTCGAAGTTGAGGCTTAATTACAGTTAATTTTTCACTTTATTAAGTCTCTTCTTCCGGATAATATTACTTTCAAATGTATCTACTACTTACACCTCTTTCTTTGCAAACAAATTCAAATTAGTCTCATTTTCCTTCTTTCTTTTTATTTTTTTTATTTTTTTATTTTACTTTTCCAGAAATAATATAAGTATGGGAAAGTATATGAGTTTTAGGTGTATAGTTATAATTATCGTTTTACATCATATATGGAAGGGTGTATTTTAAAGCACACTACTGAAAAGCGGTCCTAACAGTACTTGTAACTTAAATCAAATCAAACCAAACAGTTTAGTTAAATTTATTAAAAAAAGATTAGTTGTTAATAATGATTAGAAGTAATTAAGTGAAGTAATAAATATTTGTCTAATAAGTGAATTTATTTTTTTAACAGTTTATAAATTAAAATAATTTTTTAACAAATTAAAATATAATAATATTGAGTTAAAGTTACATAAATCTTAACTATCCGTCAAATGTGAGTTGATAATTTGAGAGAAGGGCTTTTAGTTCTCAAGTTCAAAAGAAATTGAGAATGTAAAAAAAAAAAGAAAAAGAAATAAAAATGTACTATAATATGGAAAATTTGAGGAGACATAATGTAATTCCGAATCATGTGGATGGATACTCTCATTCAAACATATATTGATTTGTGGAGAGCAAATCCTTTAAAATGCGGACTACATGATCGCTCTTCACATTTACAAGGGATTGATTGATGCTTCACTCATCATTGTTCTAATCAATGAGCAAGCATATTAAGAAGTGACACTCTATTTTGGACTAAACGTCTGAAAATGCAATCTAATCCACCTTCGAGGTCATCAATACTAACATTCAGAGTCTCTAACACTCTTAGAGTACCTTGAACTTCAGCATCATCGTGTTTTCCTCTTCCTATGAGGGAGCATACAATGTTGAGGTCTGCAACATTATTGTTCTTTTGTTCTTTGTCCGAAGAAAATAATCTCGTGGGCTTTAGTTTTGAGATCATGGAGGACCCTTTTGTCCTGAGCCGTGGCATGGACAGGAATAGCAAAACAGAACGAAATATAGAGATGGTGATGGTGCTTGCTTCTCTTAGAACTCTGGCCAAGAATATTATATGCTGATCTTGACCCATGACAGAAAAACCATTAACTTTGTTCTCCATTCGCTTCAAAGCCACAAGTAGCTTGCAAATTTCCTTCTTGGCCTTCTTCCAAAAGCTATCATATTCAGAAATGCTACTTTCAATGCTTGAATCTCCTCTTCTTCTACGCATGGCTGACTGAAATGTTTGCACTTGTTCCTTGAAAGCCAACAATAAATCCCTTGCGGTCCCACATGCATCTAGCAATGTGACTGAGTCACATAGTGCCTCTTCCACTAGATTCCCATTCTGGTAGTGCAAAAGAGCTTGTTGGGTCTGTGGAGAATGGAAGAGTTCCTCCATGCAATTGTACAACTCTGCAAGCACAACCGAATCACTTTGAATATTCTCTGCTTCTAAACAAACGGTGCTGGAAACAGACCGGGGGTAATGAAGTTTAAGATGGTTCAACAGTGCTTCAATTCTTAGAGAAGAGGGGTGCACTCTAGTGGGCAAGCTAATGGACCTTATTGGTTTATGAGTACTTGGAAAGAGAGAAATGGCTTCCATCTTTTCTTTTTTGTTAACCTAGAAAGGTGCACCAAACACAAAGATGCTTGATCAGCAATTAGTTTGCCTTCAATCTATTTATGGGACCATGGTAAAGGAGAACCTAAACTTGGAATTATAAGTGTGCAACCCAAATATTTGGGTATTATATTTGCATGTGATGACAATGTGGGTCTCCCTATCTTTCCGATTGCTGTCTAACATTTTAGGCCAACATTTCTGTTACTATAGTGATTTAATTAATCCCATGGGCTACGTTGATGTTTTAGAAATTCGTGGTAGTACACAAACATAGGACACAGGACATTGCTGGTATATGCTCCCCTGCTTACCCTTTTAATGAATCAACAATGCCATATATTCAATCGTATATAATTCAATGGTATAACATATCTCTTAAGAGATGTGTGTATAATTGAAGTTGTTTTCTATTTGAATTAATTTTGCAGTTTATGTCTTTCTTCAAAGTATAAGAGCGGGGTGGATTTAAATAATCCTGGCTAACTCAAATCATGTTGTGAGTTGTAGCCAAAAGTTTCCTTCATAGGCCTGGAATCTAGGCTAGCACTGAAATGTTATTGGGGGACATACGAACTATGTTTGCTCAAATTGCTATAATTTATCATTTAGGTGACTAAGTAATGGAAGAGGTGTTGTGGTGACAGTGTATTTACTGATATTAATTAGGAGACAAGGGGGGCAATCAACAGTGATGTTTATTCCACCTTGGAAATTGATATGTTAGTATAATGAAAACATTACAGCATAAAAGTTCTGGTACTTCTGTTTGGTGGGTGGCTTGTGTTATGAGTAGAGGAAGGGAAGAGTAGTTTAGGAGCTGATTGAAAAGTAAAGGGAGCAGTACAGGAGTCACATGTTATTCGTATAGGTGAGAAGCTGTAGCTGATTAATTTTGTCTTCTGGCGTTTTCTCTGCATTCATCTGCACCTTAAACAACATTACGTTTCAAGAGCAATGTACCTAAGAATCATATTTTCTGATAGACAGCAGCTTCGGAGTTAATAAAAAGTTACAATTAATTGATAAAATTAAATTGACAAAGCATGTATGTTTTCGAGGACTGAAATGATAATTTTCCTTTAGTAGTTAAGGGTGCCCCGAATGATTGTCAGCATAATGCTAACTTCTTAATATTCCAAAATAAATGTGTGTGTTGGAGGGGTTCAGTTGCTAGTCTACCACATGTCATATAAATCTAAACCTCACCAGCCATAACCATCTGACTTAAATGCAAACCAAAAAACATTTTATTATATACCTTGTAGTGGACTGTGGTGACAAGCATGCTGTGTTAGAGAAGGCATGGCTTTGTTGAATTTATAAAGGAATAACTTTCCATGTGCTACAACTTGAGTAGCAGATGTTGCCTGCTCCTCATAATCAATTAAGACAAAGTTTGGCAGTGAATGGTTTGGCAACTTGGCCCTGAAGCATCCTGAGAGGCTTGCAGCTAAGCGTTCCACTTTTAATTTATTGCACTGCCACTGCATGTGTTTATTGGATCCTTTGAAGCCTATGTGCATCAATCGTCATGCTAGCGAATACTAGTGAACATTTATCAAAATTCGTATCATTGTGAGATAAATTGTAATACTTACGTTTATCTTTAGCTTTTTTTGGGCAGAGTTCCAGAAAGGTCCACTGAAGTGGGTTCTAATTAAGCATGGTTTATGAGGGTAGAATTGCATAGAAAGTTGGTCCACTGAAGTGGAATGATGCCATTTGATTTTATATAAAGCATGTGGATCCTCATGCGTCACTGGTATCATGATAGAGAAAAAAATTATGCGCCTTATCGTATTAATGTAGACACCGTTACAATAATGTGTCAATTTAATTTAATTCAAATGTCAGGAAGTGTTGGGGGCAGTTTTAGTTTTTTAGTTTAAATGTTTAATTTTGTGTTTTTAAACTTTACAAAGTTATGTGAGTTTATTGCAGTATTTAAGTGTCTTCATGTATTTCTTGTGAAGTTACAAGTTTTGTAACTTAAAACTATTGTTTGAAAATGAAAGTAGCGATCTTTAGCATTAGAGAAAAATATTTCCGCTGTCTTTTATTCTTCTCCCAGCAGACACGATTTATGATAATATATAAGAAGCTAAAAAAAAAAAAAAAACCTTATTCAAGGCTGCAGCGCTGTCATTCAAAGTAAATAAGAACAAGAATTATCTCATCAATCGTTGTCTATTCAAGTAAATAAAAACAAGAAGACAATGAAGTAACACTCTAACAGAATTTATTCCGATTCCTGTATTGCGTCAAGACTCACATTTCAGCCAGCAATACATTATTTAATTCAAAGAGCTATAAAAGGCCACCATGTTCTTTGTTTCATCAAATGGTCCATCGTGTTTGTAATTGTGATGAATTGGTGATTCGAAGCTCAAAATCAAATGTTTCAAGGATCAATAAATCGTAGTTTAAATTTTCAACCGTGTCCTTAAGCTTTATAAATGTATGAACATATACAATATGT